AAAGTAGATTAGATAAAAGACACGGCATCATCATTGCAATGCAAGATCTGATAAGTACACAGATACACTATCACAACCACCAATGATGGAGATGCTAATGTACAAACCAAATGGGCATGTAACATATTACACTAACAGGAGCTCAAGGAGAAGAATGTTACCTCTTGTATGAAGTCAATGTAGTGAAGAGCACCGTGCTTGAACTGGGTCCCACCACCAGGAAACGTTAAGTACTCACCAGAAACTTTTACCCAATTCTGATGCCCCTTAACTTCAGCAAGTTTTGTGTGGGGAACATTATAGTACCAAATCTGCAGAAACACACTCAATTAGACAATCAAAGAATGAAGGGAAAAAAAACAATTCAAAAACTGAACTTATAACATAAAACGTATTTTCAGAAATAAAGATATTAAATCTTTTTAACCTTTTCCCTGCTAGTTGGCCACGTAATTGAGCGTTTATAGCCCTCTGGAAGTGAAACAAGGCAGGTAGGAGGTTCTTCAGGACAATGCCTTTCTCGATGTTCATAATGTTTTGTACTTCGAAGACTCCTAATTGCTTGCAAATTGTCGAGGCAAGGAATGTAATCCGATCCAGCAGTAACATTGCAAATTTTCCACTCATACCCAGATTGTTTCGTGGAAGATCTTTGAGTCTCTTTTTCATTCTTCGACTCTGCTGCCTGAGTTGACCATGCCCCATTTTGTGTTGATGTTTCATTCAAAAGCTCCGACTGAGCACCGGAAGGAAACACCTCACCAGAAGTCAGGTTTTTGGATTGGTTATTTTCATTTAACTTCGCATTCTCCTCTTCCTTTCTGTTACCGTTTTCTCCATCTTTAGTATCATTTGAGTCATCTGCTTTTTTGTCGTCTTTGCTGTTCTCTTCTGTATCATTTGAATTTGGTTGTTTCTCATTAGAATTCTCCTCAGGATCTCCTTGTCCACCGGATCCATTGTCACCAGCCTCTGGCTTAGACTCAGAACCTGGTTCTCCATTTTCCTCCTTAGAATCACCATTTTCTGTTTTACTTCCATCGTCTGGTTTAGTTTCTTCATTCCCTCCATTCTTGTCCCCATTCTGTTCATCTGGCTTCTCTTCAGGCTTCTCTTCAGGCTTCTCTTCAGGCTTCTCTTCCGGCTTCTCTTCTGGCTTCTCTTCGGGCTTCTCTTCCAGCTTCTCTTCGGGCTTCTCTTCGGGCTTCTCTTCGGGATTCTCTTCCGGCTTCTCTTCCGGCTTCTCTTCTGGCTTCTCTTCGGGCTTCTCTTCGGGCTTCTCTTCAGGCTTCTCTTCAGGCTTCTCTTCAGGCTTCTCTTCAGGCTTCTCATCCTGGCTTTCCTGCTGATTAGAACCTTCATTGCCATCCCCTTTCCTTACATTATCAGGCAAATCTCCTGGATTATCTTCAAAAGGCTGAGTGTTGGCCTCATTGGTCTCAACCACCTGACTTTTTGCAATATTTTTGTTCTCCTGTGGCACATCAATATTTTGAACCGGAACTACAGATGATGATGTTAACATCCATATCCCAACCAAGCACAAAGCAACAAATACAACAATGGTCACTGAAGAGCAGTAACTCGACGAAGACCTTCGGTTATCTATTCTCGAATACTTCCCTATAGCCATTTCTATTTGTAAAGTTGTGTCCTATAGAGTTTGCACCTGAGAATGGAAAGGGAATAGACAGATTAGAAATTTAAAATAAAATAAACTAAGTATTAATTAGTTGAATACACAAAGGTCATTGACACCTGCATTCATACAAGCAAAAGATATTATGAAAAGTGAAACTTGGTCCCATGAAGTCGTTCAAACATCAACGTCAAACAAACAATTCAAAGTCCCAGAAAAACAGAGATTCAACTTGAGAGAAACTTGACATAGATCTGGCTAGAGCACTAAGAAAAATATTCAAAAAAGAAAATTCAGCCAAAATTCACGACACAATTACTGCAATCAGTCACTGAAATTAATGGAGAAATAGACAAGGAGGATCGGATAAATCAACTTCAAAACACATTAAAACATATCAACCAATGATTTAGTACGTCCATACTAACAAGGTCGATCCAGAACACAGAACAAAAACATAAATTACCCGCGTAAACAAAATCCAAAAATCACGTAAAGTTATAATGAAAAGATAACATCATTCATTCACACACAACGCAAAACAATAAAAATTCAAACAAACTCCACCAGATCTAAATTCAAGTGGCACAAAAACGAATAAATCACACACCAATGCGAAGCAAAAAAGCAACAAGGAACCACAGTTTGCTAAAAACCAAATTAGATCTACAATAAAAACACACATAAACGAAAAAAACAAGCAGAAACCAGAAACTAGAGCATTGAAGGCGCAAGAAAGCTAAAACATGTTGACTGTAAGAACCAAAGAAAGAAACAACGAGAGGACATGGAAGGGGATCTGCGCGATCTAACCAGCCAGCAATAAGCGATAGCGCCATGGCTTACCTTGGAAAGAACAGATCTAGAAAAGAAGACAATAAAGTTGGAAACTATTCCACCATTTTTCTGAGGCAGAGAGGATGAAATGTAATGGTCGGGCGAATGAAGGGGGAGGAGAAGAATTAATAGAGAAAATAGAGAGACAAAGAGAGGATTAGTAGATGGTGGATTAAATTAATTAATTTTTTTTTAGCAGAAATTAATCAAATTACTGATTTAAATGTTTTGTAATTACATGATTAATTTGCTAAACATATTCTTTTTTATCGAACAGTGTCCGGAATCACCGACCTTAGAAATAATAGAAAAAAACACGCGGTGAGGAGAGAGAGCGAAACACGCGCGCGCTTTCTATGTTGTAATTTTCAAAAAAGCGCGTGCGCGTGCAAATCACACGCGGTACATCGGATGTGGGCGAATGACAGGTGGCCATTATGATTAAACTAAACATTATTTATTAAAATTTTCATGCTTCATTTTTTTTTTTTTTTTTTTGCAATATTCCCTCTATCTCTTGATGTCGACTTTAAAAAAAATATATATAAAAATACATATAAAATTGATAATAAATTTTGTAACGCTTTTTTCTTTAAATATTTTAAAAAAATATTTACATATTTAATTCTCTTTCTTAAATTATTTAGTAAATTCTAAATATTTAAAATTTACTCAATAAAAAAAAAAAATCTCAATTACTACTAAGTTAGTATGTTCGCAGATTCACTCCCCACCTCTTTATATTATTAAATTGGTAAAAATTATTTTTAAAATATTAAATTCAAACATTTAAAAATAATAGACTTAAATTAGAGAGGTAAAGTTGGTTAAGCTTTTTTTTTTTTTTTTTTTTTTTTTTTTTTTTTTTTTTTTTTTTTTTTTGTCTTTTATTTTCGCTATATAATTTAATTTAATGTAAGGTGGCACTTAGATCTCAATCTCGTCTTCTAGAAGACGTGACAGCGACTCTCGATCCACACCGTTGAAATTGATCATTGATTTTTTTTTTCTTCATTATTTTATTCCTTTCAAATTTATTTTAATTTCTAAAGGATTATTTTTATTTTTTTTATTGTAAAAATTATTTTGTAGATTTAACTTTTTAATCTAATTTCTTTTTCAATTAAACAAACAAATCATACAAAATTTATAGATTTCTTTTAAGTAATTAAATCCCGAGTAAAAGAAAACTTTAAAATAGAAAAGTTTGAGTAAAAAAACTTTGGTATTTGATGTTCGTTTAAAAGAGCTGACAGAAGAAATCAAAGTTCATTAGTTTACAAGCGTGGTTTGAGAATGAGAAATTACGTCAAGAAAGCCCGAGAGAAATTTAGTCATGATGATATCAAATCATCGTGAAATCTAAAACTTTAAGTTCATGAGGTACAATAAGTTCGAACTTTTATAAATATTTGAAAAAATAAAATTTTAATCGATGAAAAAAAAATCGAGATAAAATTGTAATATTACACGTTGGTTGGAGAAAGGAACAAAACATTCGATCTCTCTTCCAATAGACGCGTTTTAAAAGTGTGAGACAGATATAATATATAACAGGTCAAAACTAACCTTTATTCTCAATAATTAGTTTCAAATTTATTTCCAAATATTCCAAATATAGTATGTGATCCCATATAAAGAAATAAGAGGAAAATAAAATTAAATAAACGAGATTAAAATGCCAGGTTGGAAAACTCAAAGACTTAAATACAACTTATACGAGTTTAGGACGAGAAGTGAAACGGTCCTCATACGAGTTTAAACTCGAAAATCTCGTATTAATACCATATAAAAGAAAGTTAACAAATATAATAATTAAGGTTGCACGTAAGAACTTATTAGTCTTGCTTGCATGCATGAGAGAGAAAATGGAGAATTTTTATTTAATGCATGCATGTAGAAGAGAGAGAACAAGTATGACAGGGACTCCGAGCTTCCTTCAACCATACCAAGCAACATTTTGATTCATCGTCGGTTGAGCAAGATTTCTAGCAACAAGGTAAGTAGAAACTCAGCGTATTTTTGAGTCCGTTAAAAGTCTATCTATAATTTTATTGAATTTTAGGATAGAATCGATTTCTCTAGGTTCGAGAATTCTTACCATCAAACACATACGGTTTACGGTTTATTATACGAAATTCTCTCTATAAAAATTAAACGGAGCAACAACAAGGCTATGGATGAGGATGTGGATGTGTTGAGGATTGTTAGGAGTGAGTCCGACGATAGCTTATGTTTAAAGTGGACAATTAGAAAAATATTATTTGCTCTTTGAAATAGAGTTATTTTGAAATTATAAATGCAAAAATTAATATTTAAATTTTTTTAAAATTTATTATAGTCTCGGCATTGTGGGTTAATTTTTGTCCAAAATTTGCAATTTTTTTATATATTTTAATTTGTGTTAATTTGACATATTTAATAAAAATAAAGGTAAAATCTTAAATTTTAATTAAAATAGAAAAAATCATAAATAAATTTAGGTCGACTTGATTAAATTAAATACTTCATTATAATTGTGATAAGCAGTAGAAAAATTCTGAGAGGTTGAGTTCTACTGTTCTTCGTCTTCCCTACGCGGAATTTGTTTTCTAGTAAATATGGTGAATACTCCAAGAATTTCAAGAAAAATTCTTGTTGCTTCTTTGGTTTTGCGATTGGGGATTGAGGAAAAAAGTTCGAAGTTCACATGTCGGATTTCTAGGTCACGACTTGTGAAAGAAACACGGAAGAGGAAAGTTGTGAATTGAGCTTTCTATTGTTTATTTTGGTAAATTTTTTTCTAGTGAATCCATGAAATTTGCGAGCAGGTTGTAGACAATGCTCGACATTTTGTTGTTGAAGTTTCCGGAGTTCGTGAAGGTATGAATTTCTTTGTTTGGACATCGATTTGGCAGAATGTTGGACGCTTTTAAGTTAGTAATTAGCATTATATTCAGATTCAACTACTGGCCTTGGTTTAGAGTTGAAACGGAAGTAATCGTGGTGATTTTGATGAAGGTTTTGTTGTAGAGATTGTCATCTTGTATGATATAATATTGGTTATACGATTTTGTTCTTGCTCTGTTGGAGTTTCGTCAACTGCTGGTGAACTACTCATTGAGTGCTGTCCTGCTAGAGTGTGAATGGACAATCTTCAATGTAATAATTGGGCATTAGGACGTTTAATTTGTAGAAGATTTATGTGAACTAGCCCACTTTAACGATTCTAATTCTCTGTTTTTTCACGATCTGAAAATGATGCCTCTGTCTGGTTTTTTCCCATCCTTTGATCACTATGCTTTTCTCATTTCAAAATGCATCAAACACAAACACTTGAAGGTTGGCATGTCCTTGCACTCCCACCTTATTAAGTCCGCTCTTTCGTTTGATCCGTTCCTTGCTAACCATCTTATTGACATGTATTCCAAATGTAATTCTATGGAAAATGCGCAGAAGGCATTTGATGATTTACCCTTTAAAAATATCCACTCGTGGAATACCATTCTTGCCTCCTACTCACGTGCTGGATTTTTGAGTCAAGCTCGTATGATATTTGATGAAATGCCTCATCCAAATATTGTTAGCTACAATACCTTGATTTCTAGCTTTACTCACCATGGGTTGTATGTAGAAGCAATGAATATCTTTTGGCAAATGCAACAAGATTTTGATCGTTTAGTCTTGGACGAGTTTACTTTTGTGAGTATTGTGGGTACTTGTGCCTGTTTGGGTGCTTTGGAAATGTTGCGTCAGATTCATGGAGCAGCTATTTTCATTGGATTGGAGTTCAATATGATTGTTTGCAATGCTGTAATTAATGCTTATGGTAAATGTGGCGAACCGGGCACATCATATTCTGTTTTTAGTAGAATGCAGAAGAGAGATGTTGTTACCTGGACCTCCATGGTTGTAGCCTATACTCAGACATCCAAGTTAGATGATGCTTTTCGAGTGTTCAGGAGTATGCCAGTAAAAAATGTTCATACATGGACTGCTTTGATTAATGCTTTTGTGAAAAACAAGTATAGCAATGAGGCCCTGGATTTGTTTCAACAAATGTTGGAGGAAAAATATTCTCCTAATGCTTTCACATTTGTAGGTGTTTTAAGTGCGTGTGCAGATCTTGCTTTGATAGCAAAAGGGAAAGAGATTCATGGAATCATAATCAGAAGGAGCAGCGACCTTAATTTTCCGAACGTATACATGTGTAATGCTTTAGTTGATTTGTACAGTAAGAGTGGTGACATGAAATCAGCTAGGACGTTGTTTAACTTGGTTCCTAAAAAGGATGTAGTCTCGTGGAATTCACTAATAACTGGGTTTGCACAAAATGGGCTCGGAAGGGAAGCACTTATTGCGTATAGGAGGATGATAGAAGTAGGGATAAAGCCTAATGAAGTGACGTTTCTTGGTGTGCTGTCTGCCTGTTCCCATACTGGTTTGTCATCTGAAGGATTATATATTATGGAGTCAATGGAGAAGTCTAATGATATTAAGCCTAGTTTAGATCATTATGCAGTCTTGATCGATATGTTTGGAAGAAAAAATAGACTTGCCGAAGCATTGGATTTAATATCCAGGGCACCCAATGCATCAAAACACATCGGTATATGGGGTGCAGTTCTGGGGGCTTGTCGAATACACGACAATTTGGACCTGGCTATAAGAGCTGCAGAAACTTTGTTCGAGATGGAACCAGATAATGCTGGAAGATATGTAATGTTATCTAATGTATTTGCAGCAGCAAGTAGATGGATGGATGCCCATAATGTGAGAAAACTTATGGAGGAAAGAGGTTTCAAGAAGGAAGTAGCACAAAGCTTCATAGAAATAAGAAACGTAAGACATAAGTTTGTGGCAAGAGATAATTCCCATAGTCAGATGGGTGAGATATACGAGTTAATGTTCATACTACTAGATCATATGAAAAAATTTGGTTACATGCTTCTTGACGATGGTATTTACTTTTATGATGGTTAGAGTACTTGAACTTTAAGCATGATTTATTTGGATCACAGCGTTGCAAATGTATAGACATTGAAGAAGCTAGCAATTTTAAGGAAAGAATTTGAGAATATGAAGCTACACGATGAAGCTACAAGGCTGAAAAGGAGAGATTGCTATCAAGTAGGATACCTTTATTTTTATTTATTCTTTTAACATATAACTAAGATTGGGGTGGTCATGGATAAGAATATTCATCATTCAGCATTTCAACATGGATAATAATAACTAAGATTGACTCTCAGGGTTTTGATTTTGCTGCTTTTCGTTCTGTAATCCTCTAGTAATATTTTTGTTACTGGAAGTAAAAGAAATGATGAAGTTCTGTTGTTCTTAATCTAGATAGAAAAATTTCTGGGTGCTGAGGTTTGATCGAGCTTTGTCTTATGAATTAGTTTGCAGAGATGAAATTGAGAAACAATTTCCTCTCAAGAGGGAAGCATTGTTCCTTTGTTATGTCTGCTCTTGCATTCACCATCGTGGTGTTGTGGGCGTGGGGGGAAAATTCTTTTATTACCACTTCTCAGTCAGTTCAAGCATGGTATAGAACTTCTTATTCAGGTATGCTCGTCAACCCTTGTTTATAAATGTAGAGAATGTCGATTATGTAATTAGACTAGTTCTTGGCATTCTTCGTTCTATTGTTGGAACCTTTAGACTAGTTTTTGAATGTTAAATTTTTATCTCATTCCAAAAAGAGAAAGTTCAAACAATTGGGATTTTTAACCTTGTTTAGCTAATGTGGGATTTTTAACCTAGTTTAGCTAATGGGGAGAAATTTCTATCCGCTCCTTCCCCCATTCCTCGTTTAAATGGAGACTTCACCCTACGAGTTAAAAATACATCTCTACATTTTACCATAGGTTCAACTCTTTCTCTTGATACATGCTGCTATCCCTTTTCTCGCACCCCTCTATTCAGCCTTAATGCTTTGAAAATTGAAAACTTACGAAGTGAACATGCAATCCTCCTTTACACCTGGCAGACAATTGAAAATGTTAAAATCGGTTATTTTGCACTTTTTCTTTTCTTACTATTTGCGTAGCTCTTGCTGATGATTGTTTAGGGTTCATGGTAGGTTCCACATACAGTTCTGTAATACCTGACACAGTAAAAGAGAATACTGAAAAAACATATTCAAATTCAAGTACAAAAGAAGAGACCGTAAAAGATGATGCACATTCAGAAGTTACACTCACATATGCTGCATCCACAATAAATTTTAACAGGAGCAAGAGTAATGAGAACAGTAAGTACTTAGCCCAAACTAGTGGTGCTGCTTTCGAATCTACTTTATATTTTTATTTCTTAAACTTTTCAGCCTGTAGCTATGGAAATGGTGAATGGGTCCTTGATGATAGTCAACCATTATACTCTGGTTTTGGATGTAAGCGATGGTTATCAGCAACATGGGCTTGTAGACTGACCGAGCGGACTGATTTTTCCTATGAAAGATATCGTTGGGTTCCCAAAGATTGTGAATTGCCAGCATTCGAGCGGTCTGAATTCCTGAAAAGGTACTTGACTTCCCTCTTGTTTATAGCATATTGTAAGCGGGAAGCCTTCCTCCACTTTCCATGAGGGAAGTGAAGGTTAATTTATCCAGATTTTCTCCCACAAGCGATAACAGTGGGCTTTTTTTTTTTCATTCTTTTGTCACTAGTAACCTCTAGTATGTTCGGGATGATAGTTTTCAAACGAAAAAACTAGAAACACCTAAAAAAAAAAAAAAAGATGATGTATAGCTGTCTTGTTTTTATTTAGCGAACTAGTTATAAAATATGCAACTAAACAAATTCCATCCTACCCTGAATTCTGAGACTTAAGAGAGTATAGTTATCTAACTTACCTTATGGTCTTCAACTTGTCTGCCATTGGTATCTATTTAATAGTTTATGATTTAGTTAGGTTAGTTTCTGCTATTCTTGACACTTTTTGAGTGATCTAGAATGCAGGACAAAACCATTGCATTTATTGGCGATTCATTAGGAAGGCAGCAATTTCAATCTTTGATGTGTATGGCCACGGGTGGGGAAGAGAGTCCTGAAATTAAAGATGTAGGAAAAGAATATGGTCTTGTCAAAGCTAAGGGCGCTATTCGTCCAAATGGATGGGCATATCGTTTTCCGAGTACCAATACTACTATTTTATACTATTGGTCAACAAGCCTCAACGAGTTATTGCCATTGAACATGTCAGACCCAGCCACTGAGGTAGCCATGCATCTTGACCGTCCACTAGCATTTTTGAGAAACTTCCTCCATTTGTTTGATGTGTTGGTTCTTAATACTGGACATCACTGGAACAGAGCAAAAGTTAGAGAAAATAGGTGGGTGATGTACAAAGATGGAATTCGTAGTGAACTTGATAACTTGAAAGAAATTGACACCGCTAAGAATTATACTGTGCACAGTATTGTCCAATGGCTAGATTTGCAACTCTCCTCTCATCCTCGACTCAAGGTTTTTTTCAGGACCATGTCTCCTCGCCATTTTCACAATGGGGAATGGAATAACGGAGGTAGCTGTGTCAATACCACACCGTTATCAAGAGGAAGCAAAGTAGAACAGAATAGATCAAGCGATCCAATTGTTGAGAGTATTGTAAGAGGTACACAAGTAAGGATGTTGGATATAACTGCTCTTTCCGATCTGAGGGATGAGGCTCACAGATCCCACTACAATATCAAAGGAACTTCGGGTGGTAGTGATTGCTTGCATTGGTGTCTTCCCGGTATTCCGGACACATGGAACATGATTCTTCTTGCTCAAATATAGCTTCGTTTGTCTTAAAAGTTCACTTTTGGACATTCAGCTTTGCTTCCTAGTAAGACATCTTAATTTGTAGCCTCGAAGATGATAACTTTGAGGTGGGTTTGTTAGCTAGGATACTCTTCTCAATTAAATATTTGTTTTGTATGATAAAGAAAATATAAATGAATACACTATTATTTCAAATTTGTTCAAAAAGAGAGCATCAGATTTACAATTTTATTTTAATATTATAATTATTTAAATTATTATTATTATTATTATTTTTTTTTTTTTTGAATTCTTTGATCTTTGAATACATATTTTTTTGGGTTAAGGATTTTTTTTTTTTTTTTTCTAAATATTATTCTTTTAGTTACTTTTGAAATCCTTGAGGACATATTCAAAGGGAAATATATGAGGCTCTTTCTCGTGATGCCCAAAGTGCTTCACCTTTGCAATATATGACCAAGGAATACCATCGTCATTTATAGCTTCTATCACAAGAACATAATATTGAGGATCTTCGTAGTTGCAAATACAATCGGACCGACCGTTCACCACGCCCTTTTTTACTTTTTTGTGATTGAGACCCCTAATTGAATATGGAAGTGGAGTAAACTTAGGTTCACAACTCATTTTGGAACACCTTTAATAGATAGTTTTAACAAACTTGCTTTGATCATGAATATTTTGGAATGTCATATTTATAGTCGTGGCTAAACGTTATTCAAATTTATATAGTCGAATATTGCAACAAACACCAATTAAACATTCCTCTCTTATTTTTCAGAGATAAAAAAAGATTATTCTCTCGAATATAGTACGGTATTGATTATTCTCTTTAGAGTGAATTTTAAGTTAAAACACATTTTTTGCATAAATAATTGAGTTTGATCAAGTAAACACTAGCGGCTCGATTCAATTGCTAATATATTATATGTTGTTTAATCAATTTAAATATTAAACATGTGAGAGTTAATAAAAAAAATGTGGATTTAGATAGGAAAAATAATAATAATTTTTTAAAATTAGATATACTTTTATTTAAAAATAAATAAATTCACTACCTTGAAAGGTAAACAAATTTAGAGACTATAAAAATATTTGTCCGCACTATAAATTGCAACAAAGATAAAAATGTACATCAGAATGAGAAAGAGAAATAAAAGTTTTAAATGTCAGTACTCAAATATGAGACATGAGAATAAATTATTCTCATGTTTTAGTTACATCGGTCAAAGAATATTCGATATGTTTCCAGAATTAAAAGTTTTCTTTCTCCTTTTTCACGTTTAACGTTTTTTTTTATAAAAAAAAGTAAAATGTCAGAAGGAACAAATGAGGAAGGAGAAAGAAAAGAACGAATAAATAAAGTGTGTTTTGTTGTATTTATGCCTTAATTTTTTAAAGGTAACATGAAATTTTGTCCATGTAAGGGAATATTATTATAATATAAAATATAATTTTAATTATTAAAGTATTTGTTTGGTCATATTTATTAATTTTTAAGCTTTTGCTAAATCATTTTTCTAGAATGCATAAAAATATCTATGGGATATTTAAGAAGTGAAATCTTGTTATTGTTATTTTTTATGTCCAATTCTCTTCCACGGCAAACCTAAATGAGGTTAAGTAAAACATCTTAGTGAGTATAAGATGGCTTTGCTTTGGGCTTCCCAAAAAGCCTCATACTAATAGAGTTAGTATTCCTCACTTATAAACTCATGATCATTCCCTAAATTAGCCGATGTGGGACTTTCATCATCCAACACATGCATGTCCAACATGTGTCGATTAGGGACATGAAAATAAGTTATTCGTTGCTTTCTTTAGACCCATTTAAAGCAGTCTGAAAGCTAGCTAGAACGTCAAATATTATTCTTTCTTTATATCGGTCCAAGAATATTTAATAGGCTTCTACAATTAAAAGTTTTTAAAATTAAACGTGAGAATGAAGAAATTAGGAAGGAGAAAGAGAGGTGTGTTTTGTCGTCTTTAGGTTTTTTAAAAAATGAGATAATATCTTTGTCTGTGTGGTGTTATAAGTGTGTTTTTTGAAATCTTTCCTATTGAGTTTTCCAAAATGAATATAGAATATCTATTTAATATTTAATTAATTTTTAAAACTTATATTTGCTCTCATTGTTATTTGTTAAATTAATTTTAATGCGTTGTTATGATTTTTTTTTCAAAATTTTTTAATGTTTTATTAATAAAATTAATATTAACTTAATCAATAAAAATAATTGTATTTTGTTTTTTTTTTTCTTTCCAAAATTAGAACTAAATTAATAAAAATACTATTTTACACTTCTAAAAAAAATATTAAACTTTAAAATTTAAACATATCTCGGCACTACTATTAATTTTATTATTATTTTTTTTAACATACTCTTCAACTTTTTAAAGAGTTTTAAAACTGCCTTTTAAGTTGGGTTTAAAAAATACCCTGAATTTTCAAAAAAAAAAAAAAAAACTCCAAAAATAANTAAATTTCATTATAGTCATTGAGACCCTAATTGCACATATTACGGGAGGAAACTTACGTTCACAACTTATTTTTTGAATATTTTGAAGTGTCATATTTATAGTCGTGGCTGAACGATATTCAAATTGATATAGTCGAATATTTCAATAAATACCAATTTAGCATTCCTCTCTTATTTTTCAAAGATCAAAAAGATTGTTCTCTCGAATATATTACTGTATTGATTATTCTCGTAAATGGGAAATTTTTTTTCAAGTGATTGTTTTAATAAAAAATGTGGATTTAGATAGGTAAAGATTAATTAATTTCTTAAAATGAAATATATTTGTATTTAAAAATAAATAAATTCACGGCCTTTTTCAACCTTTGTACAAAATATTTGTTGGTATCAAAAAAAAAAAAAAAAAAAAAAAAAAAAAAAAAAAAAAAAAAAAAAAAAAAAANTATATATACATATACGTACTTTTTAAGAAAATTTAAATTTTTTATGGTTACTATTTTTAGAGAAATTTACATATATATATATATGACTTATAATTTAATTTTAATATTTTGCATATAATTATTGAAATTATGGTATGTTTTATTTTAAAAAATTTATTTTTCGTCTCTAAAAAAAATTTAGTTTGATAATCTCATTTTAATTCATATTCATAATTTTTTTAATATTTTATTATTTTCCAAACTATAAATAAATTATTTTTTTAAAAAATAATTAAAGAAGAAAAATAAATGAAAATATCTCTTGACTATTTAATTAATTTTTAAAATTTATATGGCTTAAAATCTTTATATTTTTAATTAAAATTTTTTGAGAATTTGAAACTAGAAATGGTTACTTTTAATTAGTATATAATTAGAATAGAGATAATATTCCTACCTGGATTTACTCAACAAACTTATTTTGATCCTAAATACTTTGGAGTTTGATATTTATAGTCGTGGTTGAACACTATTCAAATTGATATACTCGAATCTTACAACAAAGATTAATGGATCATTTCTCTCTTATTTTTTAAAGATAAAAAAAGATTATTGATTATTCTCTCTCGAGTGAATTTTAAGTTAAACACAGTTTTTACACAAGTAATTAAATTTGATCGCTCAAATGAATTTGTAATGTATTTTAATTAATTTAAATATTAAATATGTGAGAATTAAATGGGTAATTTTTTTTTATCTTTCTAATAAAAAATGTGGATTTAGATAATAAAAGATGAATTAATTTTTTAAAATAAATATATTTTTTATTAAAAATAAATAAATTCACCACTTCTTCAACGTTAGGGATTGCAATGAGAAAATTTGAAAGACAAAAAAAAGTATTAATGCAACTTTTTGAAAAAAATTAAATTTTTTATGGCCCTATTTTGTGAAGAAATTTATGAGTATATGACTTATAATTTAATTTTAATATTATGCATTTAATTATTGAAATTATCTTATTTTTTAGTTTAAAAAAATTACTTTTGGTCTCTAAAATTTTATTCGGATAATATTTTTTATTTTAATTGAACTATGCTTAAATGTCATTCGTGCCATCTTTTTAATTTTAAGGAACGATTAAATCGATATTGTGATATTTTAAATTATTTTAAATTATTTTTTTAGTTCTTGAATCACAATAATATAATATTTTAAATTACTTTTAAGATTAAAAATCATTAATAAAGAGAGAAGACTTGGTGCAGAGAGGGAGCAATCTAATGCTTGTTGAAATCTTTGAGGGCATCTTCAAAGGATACGAGAATGGTCAGCAACATATGACCAAGGAATACCATCATCGTTTAGAACTTCTATCACCATAATATAAGTTTGGATTTCAATACGTATGTTGGCGATACCATATGACAGACCGTTCACCACACACTTGTAAATGAAGCAATGTCCACCAATCCTATTATTCTCTTCCACGACAAACCTTGCAGCCTCTTGCACTTGTTTGTCGTTGACATCCTTAATTACTGGAAGTGGAATTGAAGGACACACTTCTCCCGAACACATTCTAAAACAGCTTTGATAGATAGCTTCAACCAACTTACTTTGCTCATAAATATTTTGGAGTTCACCATACCATATAACAGACCATTCACCACACGCTTGTAAATGAAGCAATGTCCACCGTTTTTGTTATTCTCTTCCACGACAAACCTTGCAGCCTCTTGCACTTGTTTGTCGTTGACATCCTTAATTACTGGAAGTGGAATTGAATGACACACTTCTCCCAAACTCATTCTAAAACACCTTTGATAGATAGCTTCAACCAACTTACTTTGCTCATGAATATTTTGGAGTTTCATATTTATAGTTGTTAAACGCTATTCAAATTGATATAGTCGAATCTTACAATACAAATTAATTGAGCATTCATCTATTTGGAGATAGTTTCGAATCAAATTCTTTAATTTGGATGACTACGACATTGTTTTAGTCAAACAACTAAAACTAGTGTATTACTGGGTAGTACAAACATTTTGTAAGTGTATTTTTCGTTTTTAGTAATAAATTACACATTAATAGTTAGATACAATTAATCTTAAATAAAATTGTGAGTAAAAGTTTGGATTGAGCCCAATTGAACGAGCAATATTAAATTATATCTAAAAATATATAAGGTTTCATTTTTTTAAAACATTCCCAGGAATCAGTGTTATATTATCTTCAAAGATTAAAAAAAAAAAAAAAATTATTCTCTCTCGAATATGGTACGGTATTGA